AGGCCCTGGGTTCGATTCCTCAGCACCACATAAGCAAAAAAAAAAAAGAAAAAAGCCAGAAGTGGCACTGTGGCTCAAGTGGTAGAGCGCTAGCCTTGAGCTGAAGAGCTAAGGGACAGCGCCCAGGCCCAGAGTTCAGGCCCCATGACCGGACCCCCCCAAAAAAGCAAGAGTTGGGGCTCTTAACTCCACAGGGGCCGCTTGTAGAAGGAGGCTTGCATTCAGTCTTTTATGGGGAGAAGGCATGGCAACAAGAAGTTGGCATAGGAGCCCAAGTGGGCAGGAGGCAGGTCCTTTGTAGGAAAATACCTAGCAGGCTGGAGCAATCATGAGAAGAGTAACCGTGAGTGGACTAGACCCAGGTTGTACATGTAACATGGAGCCACTGAAGACTGTTGAGCCCAGGGAAAGCCTAACCAATGCATGTTTGAAGAGGCAGAATGGAGCTGCTGTATGGGTCACTTCAGCGAGGGGGCGGTGTGTGTGTATGGAATGGAGAAACATTTAAAGAAAGAGTAGAAAATAATTGAGCAAAATAATTGTCCCCAAAATTAGAGAGAATGAGCTAGGCCATTTGAATGACCTCAGCTTAGGCTCTGCCAGACATCTTCAGCAGCTCGGCCTGGGACATGAGCTTTTAATCTCCAGAAGCTCTCTGTTCACACCCTATCTCTACCTGAAGCTTCAGGTAGATGGTGGGTGACAGGCCTTATGGACTACAGTCCCTGGAGGACTTGGCCTCCATCTGGAGCAGCCCAGGTGCTCAGCAGGCTTGCCACTGGCAAGGCTGGAGGTAAGCTCACACTGAAGAGCTGGGGTGTAAAGGATAAGTAGGAGGGGGGGTCTCACGTGGCATTCAGCTCCATGCCCACTACTGCAGAGAAGTGTCTTCCAGGGCCATCATGATTTCACACAGTTCCATGGCCAGGAGCACTTCCTGAGAGATTGGCTGACCATCTCCTTCCTCCAACCCCACCCCATGCTTTCTATTAGAGTGTATGTTGCCTTGGGACTGAGGACCAAGGTCCTGGTCCTACTTTTGCCACTCACTAGCCATGTAACCTTGATGGGGGGATCTCCTACCATGCAAAGCCTCTGTGTCCACATCTCCAAGAAGAGGGACAACAATACCCACCCCACTGACTCCCTAAGGTGAATGGAAGGCAGCTTGTAAATAACAATGGTGATGATGATGATGATGACAATGATGATGATGATAAGGTAATACTCAGGCAGTGTTCTAAACACTCCACATACATTCATTCATTTAATCCTCACAACAGCCCTAGGAGGCCGGCACTATGATTACCTCCCAAATTGGCAAATGAGATACTGAGGCGTAAGGAAGTTAAGCAGCTTACTCAAGGTCACACAGCTGATGAGATGCTCAGCCAGGTCTTGGACCAGGAGGCACGGCTGCAGTTTGGCTCTTGTCCTCATACTGCCATGACTCTCTGGTCCAATTCTCACCTCCCCCAACTTCTAGTTTCTGTTCTCTTCTGCCACAGAGGTGCCACCTCAACACGTTCTAGCTCACATGGCGTCTCTGCCCCCTGAGCACCCCTGCACAGCCATACTTTCCATCTTAATGGTCCCATTTCCTTTCCTTCCAACATATTTCTGTTCATTGTCATGAGGAGGGGGCAATGCAGCGACCGTAATTGGTGGTCTAGTGAGGGAATCATTCATTCATCATTCATTATCTCTGATATCGTGGAAGCAGGACAAGTTCTAATTAGTGAAGCCTGAGTCCCAAAGGCAAGAGGATTGACCTTGTGTGGACATCTCAAGGTCAGTAGGGACCCACGTTGATGAGACTTGCTCTAGCAGTGCACATCCATGGGTCAGTGAGAGCCTCTTGAATTTGAAACATTGGGAGAACATTTATAACATCAGAAAACAAGAAGATCATGGCCATTGGGAGAGGCCCAGGGAAATGGTACAATAAAAGATGGATGTGGTCCCAGAGACGTGCAGGTGCATAGGTGACAATCATCATCGTCGTCATCATGGTGGTCATTGTCGTCTTCTTTTGCATTCAGTGGTCACAATTCTTAACCAACCATTCATTCCTTGATGGGTATTTGGGCTTTTCTGTCTTAGATGTTTGAGCATGGTACCAATATGAACACAAGTGTGTGAGTGTATTGCTCAACTATCTGAGTTCAATGTTGATGAGTGCATCTCTAAGGGAGCAGTGTGAGGGTCACATGGCAATACTGAGGAGCTGCTGAATTCTCCCCCAGAGTTGTTTTTACATCCTCACCAACAGTGCACAGAGGTTTCCAACTTCTCTACATCCTTGCCAAGATTTATCATATTTTTTTGAATGACAGTTAGCCCCCTGGGTGAAAATTAGCTCCTCATTACGGGTTTAATTTCCAGCTCCTTAATGTCTCGCCACCTTGAATATAGTTCATGTGCTCAATGGCCATTTGTATATCTTCTTTAAATAAAATTTCATTGTAATCCCTTGATTTTTTTAACTAGGTAATTCTTTTTTTTCCCTCAAGGATGGCACTCTACCACTTGAGCTACAGCTCCATTTCTGGCTTTTTGCTGATTAATCAGTGATGGGAGTCTCATGGATTTTCCTGCTTAGGCTGGTTTCAAATCACAATCCTCAGATCTCAGATTCCTGGGTAACTAGGATTGTAAGCATGAGCCACCAGCATTCAATTTAGGTAATTTATTTCTTGTTGAGTTGCAAGAGTTCTTTTTATATGCTGAATACCTTATTAGATAAATAACCTGTAAAATTTTCCTTTTTCCTTGCCACTTTTTATGAGCATCAATTAGTTGTTCAAGGAGGTTTTATTTTAAATGTGCATTTATACATGTAAACCTTAACTCCAGACTCTCCTCTCTCTGTCTCTCTCTTTTCCCACTTAGTTTTGTTTTGTTTTGTTTTGTTTGAGACAGGATCTCACTACATAGCCCAGGCTGGACTCAAACTCACTATCTTTCCTGCTTCAGCCTCCCTAGTGCTGGGTTTATAGTTCTTTACTACCGTACCTTCTTATTCCACTTCCTTGATAGCACCTTTGAATAAACAAAAGATTTTAAGTTTCATGAAGTCCATTTTAGGTACTTTCTCGTCTGTAGCTTATGCTTTTGGTATCTAAGAATCCACTGTGAGATCCCAAATGAAGATTTATCCTTATATTTTCTTTATGGTTTTAATTAATTCTTATATTTAGGTTGTTTTCTTTTCAAGTGCACAGTGAAAAAGTTTATTTATGACATTTCAAAACCCAGAAGAGAAGACAATGCACAAAAACATCACAAAACTGTTCTTGATCGATTTGACTTTCTTTTTTTTTTTTTTTTGGTCAGTCATGGATCTTGAACTCTGGGCCTGAGCTCTGTCTCTCAGCTCTTCAGATCAAGGCTAGTGCTCTATCACTTGAGCCACAGTGCCACTTCTGGTTTTTTGGTGGTTTATTGGAGAGAAGAGTCTTATGGACTTTCCTGACAGGGCTGGCTTTGAACCACAATCCTCAGGTCTCAGCCTCCTGAGTAGCTAGGATTACAGGCGTGAGCCACCTGTGCCCAGCCTTTATTTTTTTATATAATGTAAAGTAAGGCCTGCATTCAAACCTACTGTGATAACATGATTCAACTTCTCCCTCTAAGAATCTAGGTGCCTATCTTTCTGATTACTTGAGTAATCTCTCTTCCTCCAGGAAGCTATCCTTGCTTAGCCTCCCATTATGGCCACTCCTTGATTTGCACAACTTTGAGTGTCTCCTGGGATTGGCACTAGCGACATGGTAAGATTGTGTACATGCAGCAATGGCTTCCATCATCACTAGCGGATATTTGGAGAGACAGACTGACAAAAATGCACCTATAACATCACTCAAGAGCAGTTTATTGAATATACCGCAGAAATTCAGAGTCCTTCGTTCAAGCAAGGGAAAGACTAGCAGGTGCCATTCTAAAGAAGATTTCCACTGCAAGCCATGACCTTTGGCTGGATGGAAGACACAAAGTCAAGTCCCCTCAATGGACTCAGCTCACGACAATGGTAATTGAGAGCCAGAAGCTACCATAGGGCACAGCCTGTGTCCTGCAAAAATAGGATCTGTGGCCAAGTGACCAAGGACCAATCACGGCCTGCAGTCTTGACAAAGGACAAGTTGATCTTCCCTCTGGTAAAGAGACAGTGTCATGTCATGGGAAGAGCTTGGCCCTGTATTCAGTCAGGCCTGAGCTGGCACTGGGTGGGAGGGGAGTGGTGAGTGACTAGGACACATTGCTCTCTGAGGATCAGGCTCCCTGTCCTCTGATCAACACCTTCCCTGCAGGGCAAGGTGAGAATTAGAGGAGACATGTGTAGGGTGCCTGGCATTTATCAGGCATTTACTAAGTGGGAGCAGCTATTGCCATGAATAACAAAGGGAGTTGGTGGATGACACAAGGTGGCAAAAAATCTCCATCCCTCTCCACTTGGTTCCATGAATAGGATGCAGCTGGTGATCTGAGAATGTACACATTTTCTCCCAAATGACAAAGACCTAATTTCTCATACCCTGGTGGTATGGCTTCAGGTTCACCCCACCATGCTAGCAGGGGTAAAATAAAATCTTTTGAAGAATTGAGAACTTGACCTAAGCACAGAATGAAACTATCTCCTCTCCCCTCTCCTCTTACTCCCCTTCTCCTTCCTCTCTTTCTCTCTCTTCCCACCTCTCTCTCTGTAGAGCCTGATCATAACTGCCATCAGGCCAAGAAGGTACTGATGGCTGTGTGTCCATGGCCACCTGCCAAGCTGAAGGCAGCAAGGAAAACCAGAAGTCATGAATTGCACACGGGACCTACGGGTACAGGGAGGGTGATCACATCCATCAGAACTGGAAAGCAAGATAAGCCATGATGTAGATAGTGTGCTACAGACAGTCCTAAAACTCGGGGATGAGGAGTGGGGTGTGGCAGGCATCTTTGAGCAATGGCAAAGACATCTTTTCTTCCAGGTGTTTGGTGAAGGAGCAACAGGCTTATCGAGTGGTCTTCCTGGCTGGCATGCTGGCTGGAACACTTTTCTCTTGGGACTCCTGGTGGTCTCCCCCTCGTCCGCCTCGAGACTTGATCTGGCCACTTCGCGGGCTGCTGGGGCTACCAGCCACACTGCCAGCCCCAAGGTCAGCACTCGCAGAGCTGGGGTTGTAACCATAGCTGCCATAGCTGTTGCTGCTGATGACTGCTGGGGAGGTAAAGCCAGGAGCAGGGAGAGAGAGGAAGGTGTCAATCAACCAAAGATGACAACTATAATATCCTTTTTAATCCCACCACATTCCTTAGCGGTCAAGACCTAGCCAAGATGATGGAGACCCTGCCACAGGGCAGCATCTGTGTGGTGGAAGTACTACATAAGGCAGAGACCATGTTTGTTCTCCTGAACCTCTGAGGAAAGTCCCTCTTCCAAGCCTTTCTCTAGATGACAGAATCCCCAAGGGAGACGCAGGGAGAAGGCTGGGTGGGACTTCAGTCACTGTTGCCAAGGAACAAAAGAGGAGAAAGTTCCTCAGAAGCCAGAGAGCCTCCACAGGGCTGTAACAAAACCTTCTGCATGCAGGTGAGACAATGAATGGAGGTGTCCCAGAGCCCCTGCCTTTCCCAGCCAACTCAAGGATACTCACAGATGCTCACGGAAGATGGATTCTCACCAGACATCCTGCAAGACAAAATTAAAGAGAAAAAAAACCTCAGGAATGTGTCCAGATTCAGCTGAGCTTTAGTGAGCTCTTGCTTTCATGAGTATGTGAATTTATTTCATTCATGAAGGGGTGAGAGAGTGCTGGTAGTGAGACTTGAACTCGGGGCCTCATGGTCTTGCTTGGCTTTTTTGCTCAAGGCTGGAACTCTACCACTTGAGCCCCTTCACTTTCAGCTTTTTGCTGGTTCCCTGGAGAGTTTCTTGGGTTTGTCTGCCTCGGCTGGCTTTGAATCACAATCCTCAGATCTCTCAGCCTCCTGAGTAGCTAGAATTACAGGCATGAGCCACTGGCACCCAGGTTATTTCATTCTTATAGGTAGAGATTAGAGCTTCGATTCCACTGGTGAGAAAATAGAGACCCTCCATGATTTACCAAGACCATACAGCTAGCCTGTGTCAGTCTGTCTGCTCTTCTTAGGGAGCCACATGGCCACCTGTGTTCATGGCTTTTGTCTGACATCCCCTGGCAGGAAGCAGCAGCTAAACTAACCTGTCAAATCATCATCTCTCCTATTCATGGTGTCACCAGAACTTTTGTTGACACAGTATTGTTGTTCATCTTCCAGATCCAAAAAAGCCCCTTAGCCACACAGGACACACACAGCCCCCTCCTCCCGTGGCACCCGCCAAGGTGCTTTCCTGCCCTCACCTGCACTCCTCGCCCTCTAGCAGCTTGCGGTAGGTGGCGATCTCCATATCCAAGGACAGCTTCAGGCTCATGAGCTCCTGGTACTCACGCATCAGCCGGGCTAGCTCTCCCTTGGCCTGGTGCAGGGCGCCTTCCAGCTCATCCAGCTTGTCCCGAGCATCTTTGAGGGCACTGTCCCCTCGCTGCTCAGCATCCGCGATGACCATTTCCAAGTTGGAACACTGGGGGAGGTAGGCGGAAAGCATGAAAATAGAACAGAAAATCATGTCTAGATTATACAGGTCAAGTAACATAACTCTCTCAGTATGCAGAGGAGGCCCAACGTGACTGCAAGGAACAACTACAGAGCCAGAAGCTCTGATAGCAGGGAGGGTGAAGCAAAATGGGAAAGAGGCACTATGGTTGGCCTGGCAGCTCTTAAGCCCAAGAGGAAAGACTTGCTTTCTCCTGAACGTCCAGCCCCAGCTTCTCCAGCACAGGGGTGATACTGAGCTGCTCACCTGCTTCTTCACGTTGGTGATATCACAGCGGATCCTCTGGATGAGCCGGTTCAGCTCCGACATCTCACTTCTGGTGTGTTTGAGGTCATCTCCATGCCGACCAGCTGCCAGCTGTAGCTCCTGGATCTAGAGGTCAGAGGCAGGAAGGGGTGGTGATGTGACCAGGAAGGGAAGAGTGCTGAACAAATACTCCCACCACCAGAATGAGCCTGAGTAGCTAGGATAGAGAAGGTAGAGCCAGCCCCTGAGTGTCTTTCCAGCTTTGACTAAGAACTAACCCATCCTCTAATCAGAACCTGCATGTGGTCCTCTGTTCCTATCTCCTCCTGGCCTGTAATCTTTCTTGGGATGGATAGGGAAAGATGCAGTTCAAATGAACTAAGCATTCCTCAATGTGAGGGAGCTCTAACCCACCTCCCTCACCTAGTTAATACCTATTCAGAGAAGTGGGTCCTAGAATCCAGATGAGAGCAAGACAGGCAAAGCCATTGGTCACCATTTTCCTGTGACACTTCCTTGATCACAGGGAAAAAGAGAGGAAAGTCCACAATCTCATGTACCCTTGAAAGGGATCACAGACAAGATTGATAGGATTGGTGACTTCTCCCAGTACCCAGACTCTGGGAAAGAAGAAATGGAAAGTACATTGACAGGGGGAAAGGGGACAGCGGGAAGCAGGAAGATAGACCACAGCATCCTTGCTGTTAGTGGTGCTATAGTTTGGATTTGAAACTGTTCTTCAAAGGTCCAAGTGTTAATGGCTTGGCCCTCAGCTTGGTCCTTTTGGGAGATGTTGGAATCTTTTGTGGATGGGGCCTGATAGGAAGAAGTTAGATAGCTGGAGGGCAGGCACTTGAAGATGATACTGGAACCCTGGCCTTTCTCCTCTCTCTATTTGCTTCCTGGATGGCATAAAAGGAGCAGCCTCCTCCCACCATGTCATACTGTACTGCCACAGTGCTGAGACACCACAGACAAATCTCTGAAGCCATCAGCCAGAACCAACCTTTGCATCTTATAAGTTGATTTTCTTGGCTATTTTTGTCACAGTTATGAAAAGCTGACTAATACAGGTAGAATATAACAAATGTTATGACAAATATAACAAATAACTCCCCAGAAGCCGGGTGCTTGTGCCTCATGCCTGTAATCCTAGCTACTCAGGAGGCTGAGATCTGAAGATCAAAGCCAGCCTAGGCAACAAAGTCCATGAGACTCTTATCTCCAATTAGCCACCAGAAAACCAGAAATGGCACTGTGGCTCAAGTGGTAGAGCACTAGCCTTGAGCTGAAGAGCTGAGGGACAGCACCCAGGCCCAGAGTTCAAGCCCCATGACCGACCAAAAAAAAAAAACCAGAAAAACAAAGAACAAAATAAAAAAACACCTCCCCAGGCTCCAGGGAGTACAAAGGTAAAGAGTTTTGTACCCAACAGCCCCAGAGGGCCCTACCCTGAAGCGTAACTCCACTAGTCAGTACACTTCTCCAGTCTGACCTGCTCTTGAAGTCTTCCCAGTGCCATTGGTAAATATCTCCAGACTTCCCCTTCTCTCACTCCCCAGCCAACCCCAGCTGCTCTGCTCCGTGGTTATGACTGTCCTCCTGTGCTGTGGCAGCATGCTCCCATTCCTGTCTGTGATGAGATTGCCTCATGATCTCCTCCCCTCTGTTGAGTGTGCCCCATCCACACCAGTGTTTTGATCACATTCTCTGAGAATTTCTTTGAGGGAAACAACGTGGAACTCATGGTCATGACCACCCTCTCCTGCAGCACATGCAGGAGATATCTCCTGCATTCTCTAGTGCAAGGAACTGTTCCCAGGAAGGAGGGAAAATCAGCAAGTGCCCACCTTGGTCTGGTACAGCGCCTCTGCCTCAGCCTTGCTCTTCAGAGCAATGTCCTCATAGTGAGCACGGACCTCGGTGATGATGCTGTCCAGGTCCAGGTCCCGGTTGTTGTCCATGGACAGGATGACAGACGTCTCACTGGCATGAGTCTGGATCTGGGCGATCTCCTGAGTTAGGAGATGAAGACAAAGTCAGGCCCTCAGTTTCCCCTCTTCTGCCCTACCAGTCTCCTGAGCCCCTGGTCTCTGATAATAGGTATCACTGGGATCCACAGAGCTCAAGTGAAGGAAATAGCCACTGGAGATATGCCTGCCCAAAGTGCCCATAGCAGCAGTAAACACTTCAATAACAGCAGGGAGCGGGAGGAAAGAACAGGAGGAAAGACTTGTCACCTACAATTTCAAAGAACCCATAAGGCTGTGTCTCAGGAGGACTTCATGGGGCCATCTTTTTCTTGCCTGTGGGTAAAGCCATTATTGTGTCCCAGATGAAATTGTCTCCTGACCAGGGACAGGATCCTGTTCTTCAATAGTCAGTCAGTTCTGGGACTTGCATCTTCCTATCTAAACATCTTTCCCTGTAGTAGCCCTAAATCCCTCCACCTGGCAGCACCAGGTAATGCTGCAGCTGGAAAGAGGTGGGGATGAGGGACAGGTGGGTTCTCACCGCATCATACAGACACTTGAGGAATTTAATGTCTTTTTCCAGAGAGTCCACTTTGGCCTGAAGCTCCACCTTCACTGTGTAGGCTGCATCTGCATCCTGCCAAGAGACCCCACAGCTGTCAATCAACACTCCCCTTATCCCATCAGCATCCCTGCTCCTGCCCCAAAGCCATCTGAATTTCTGTGTTTTGCCCACAAAGGAAAGAAAACACATAGACTTGTTCACCATCAAGCAACTCCTCCCAGACTCACTGAGTCTTTGGAAAGAGGATAGGGGGGAAAGGGCCTGCTTTTCCTCTGTCCCATCTTACCACCCCCTCCCTCGGAGAACACAAGTTCCAGAGAAGTATTGAGTTTCCTCAGGTCACACAGAAAAGACTGAAATGAGCCAGGACAGAGGCAAAGAGTCTATCTCTGTCCAATTCCTGAGCAAGTGTCCCTTCTCTCTAGGTCTCTGGAGACCAGCCCTGAGCCCTGAGTTGCTTTGGATGAGGGCATAAGAGAGACCAGAGACCAGAGACTCTTCTCTGCTTACCTTCTTGAGTACCACAAACTCATTCTCAGCTGCAGTTCGCCGGTTAATCTCCACCTCATATCTGTGCCAGGAAAGAAGACAGAAGAGACCTCAGCCCTGCAGGCAAGTGACCTTCTCTTCACACTAACCAGGCAAGCACTTGGGCTGCCAAAGACCAGAGTCTCCTAGGGTGAGCACAAACACTAGGCAGTCCCTAGGTTTCTCGCTATAACTCATTTACTATACTCCAGGAAAATACCCAGGAGCCTGTGGGGCTCCCTGAACTACAGGTGAGTCGATGAATGTGGGAGCCCCTACGTATTAACCAGGTAGGATGCTTCCATCATACAGGGCGGACACCTCTCCCTTCACTAGAGAAGAGGTCATGAGGTCCAGACCCAATAGCTTGCTCCTTGCCCTCTTAAACAAAAGGGCACATGAACCATGACTCTACTCACTTCTTCTTGTAGTCCTCCACCACGTCCCTCATGCTCCTCAGCTCCGAGTCCAACCTCACCCGGTCCCCAGACAGGGTCTCGAGCTGCTTCCGCAGGCTGCTGATGTGACCCTCATAAATGGGCTCCAGACTCTTCCTGCAGTTGTTCAGGTCCAGCTGCTGCAGCAGCTCCCACTTGGTCTCCAGCACCTGATTCTGCTGCTCCAGGAAGCGCACCTGGAACCCAAATCAAAGGCCACCTAGAACCACATCATGTTCTTATGCCCCATGGACATATATTGCCTTTAGACTAATTGGATTTTTATAAAGACTTTAAAGGCAAGTTCTGACTCACTACCCTCGCCACCTGGCAAAAACAAGATCTTTTGCAAGTGTTCATCCCCTAGCTTTCTTCTATTACCTACCACATATCCTAAGATATACTATGTGTCTTCCTGTGTTGTAATCCCCTCCCTCTGAATAGTGCTTGATTTTTTCCAGCTGTCCTGTTCTTTAGGGAGTTAAGGTTCTGCCTAGCTGTCTCCAGAGGTTCCTTACTTCTTTCTCAAGGTATGGCTACCCTCTACCCAATTGCCCACACTTCTTTGAAAGGTCCCCAAAGAAAACAATACATAGTAGGCTCTGGTGATTCATGACTATAATCCTAACTGCTCAGAAGTCTGAGATCTGAGGATCACCAAGGTTCAAAGCCATCCCAGGCAGGAAAGTCTATGACACCCTTATCTCCAATGAACCAGCAAAGAGTCAGAAGTGAAGGCATGAATCAAGTAGTAGAGTTCCAGCCTTGAGTAAAAAAAAGTAAGGTACAATATGAAGCCTGAGTTCAAGCCCCAGGATGAGAGAGAGAAAGAGAGCAGGAAGAGGAGAGGAGAGGAGAGAGAGAGGAGAGGGGGGGAAGGGAGGGAAGGGGAGGGGATGTGGAGGGGACGGGATGTGGAGGGGAGGGGAGGAGCGGAGAGAGAACAGGAAGAAAGGAGGGAAAGAGGGGAGGGAGGGAGGTTGGGAGGAAGGGAGGGAGGAAGGGAAAATAGAATAAAGTCCATTCATTTATTCTTTTGCTCTACCTACCTTTCAAATCTGTTCTCCTCTTATAATAAGGTTCCCCCCACCCACCCACAACACTTGGCTGCCTCCTCTCTGCCACAAAGAAATTGCTCAAATCTTATTAGATTGCTGTCTCCTCCTGGGGCACGTACCTTATCAATGAAGGAAGCAAACTTGTCATTCAGAGCCTTGATCTGCTCCCGCTCCTGGGCCCGAACTTTCTGGATCTTGGGGTCCAGCTCCACATTGAGGGGAGCCAGGAGACTCTTGTTGACAGTCACCTGGTGGATGCCTCCAGGTGGGCACACAGATGGACATGCAGGCCCCAGAGCCACACTGCCAAACATGCTGCCAGCAAAGCCGCTTGCCCTGCCCCCTCCATACCCAGAGCCATGCCCAAAGCTGGGCGCTCCAGCCCGAATACCACTGCCTGCCGTGTTGAAGGAAATATGTCGATTTCCCACAAGACTATAGAGGCTCCGACTGCCAAAGCTAGCCCCAACCCCTTGGCCAGAGGCACGGTAAGAGGCCATGCTGCCCAAAGCCTTCCTGGGAACTACTGCAGAAAGCACACTGAAGCTGCCCTTGTCTCCGCCAGGCCTGAAGTTCAGCTGCCGACTCATAGTAGGGAAGATAGAACTGACACTGCTGGGAAAACACAGTTGCCAAGGGCTAGAGAGCATATGTCAGCGCCCCAGAGTGCTGCCTGCTTTTATCCCTAAGGATCCCAAGACACCGGAAAAGGGCGTCTCTCCACTATCTCCTTCCCTACTACAAGGCTGGGGCAATTTACAGAACTGAGATCTTCAAGCCTTTGAGCAACAAAGCCCTTCTGATAGCAGGTGGAAGATGCTGTCCTTGCACACTGCAGTGGTCTAATTTGGAATTTAACTATGCTCCCTAATTAGGGAGTAGAGACTTATCCCCTCCAGAGATCTCCTAGCTTTATTTTTCTAAGGCTGCCTCCTTCTTACTTATCCACCAGAAAGGACCAGGGGGGAAATGTCAGCTTTTATCCAGATAGAGCTCATCTGAACAGCCTAGGTTTCCTCACCCCCCAAAGAAACACAGCTCCCTGTCATCTGTTCTTGGTGAGGTATTCCTCAGGGAAGAGGAGATGTGGAAAGCAGAGGATTCTTCTTCAAAGATCTGCATCTAGACAGAAGCTGAAGTGACCCTGGAGACTACAGCTCTTCTGGGATGCAGCCCAGGAGGGTGGAAATGAGAAGCAGTGTCTGCATGCACCAGTTCAGGAAGTTGTCTGGGGCTTTCAGTATTGATGTGGTCAGCCTAATGTGTGATGACCTTCAGCTTGCCCTTTCAAGCAGCCTCCACTTTCTCCAGTAGAGTTTGCTTTTCTTGATAACCTGGAATGGCCCCCTCTTGGGAGATCAGGGGAGAAAACTGGATGTTAGCTCATCTCATGCTCTTTAGAATATCCTGTGGCTGAAGTTCCTTGGACACTCCTGAACAGTCCTACTTCTTGGTGACTTCTAAGAGCCACTCAATTTGGGGACAAGAAATATCAAGCCCTGTTGAGCTCAAGTAGTCCTGGTAGAATGGAATGTTTAGAACATATCCCCAAACTAAATATCTGACAGCTGTCCCAATGCAGGACACTGTGGCCACCCATAACTACATGAGGAGCTTGGCTTGCTACAGATAGATGGTACTGGGCAGTAACTTCAGCTAAGGGGAAAGAAGCTGGGGGAACATGGTAGGCAATGGGAGGTGATAGAATACAGGCAGAGCCTGTCCCAGAGGATTCCATTACAGGACATTTTTCCGGCAGCCTTAAAGCCCCAGTGGCCTCCTTCTTTAAGGTCCCTGTCTTCTGCTTTCTTGGCAGGTCCTGGCCCCAAGGCATGAGCGGACATAATGGAAGTGGTGGCTTGTGGTTTTCTAAGCCAGATCACAATGATGGCAGCAGGTTAACAGTTAACTGGGGTACCACTACACACCCTGACACATACACATACACAAGAACTCAGGCTGTGCCTCCTTTCTGGTGTGGAATGTCAACACATTTTGTAAGAGCCTTGACCTGGACTTAGCCAACAGCCCCCCAGGATCCTGTAATCCAATAAGTGGAATCTGAGCCAACACTTAGATCAGCCCAAGCATTGTGAAGAATGAAAGGAAGTGTGCTGGGAAGTGGCTACTTGGGGTGGGGTTTTAGGAACCTCCAGAGGGTTTATATTCCCCACAGAAAGGCTGATCCAGGTTTTCCCTATATAAAATAGGCTGGTATCAAACTCACAACCCTCCTCCTATGTGTTAGGATTATAGGCCTGTGCCACCGTATCTGGCAACATTACTAACTTTACTTAAAGTCAAAAAACTGCCCAGTGCTGGTGGATTATGCCTGCAATCAGCTTCCTGAGATCTGGAAGCTGATATCTGAGGATCAAGGTTCAAAGTCAGTCTAGATTATAACCCCTCTGTACAGTATGTTCACAAATAAAACAAAATTAAATTTAAAAAAAAACAAAGTCAGTCTAGGCAGGAAATTTTATAAGACACTTATCTTCAGTTAACCAGGGGGAAAATAAAAACAGAAGTGGAGGTATGGCTCAAGTGGTAGAGTGCCAGCCTTGAAAGAAAAAACTAAGGCTGAGTGTCCTGGTCCTGAATTCAAGTCCCAGTACCAGCAAACACAAAATAAACAAACAAAGTTAGGAAACTGAGGTTTAGGGGCATTAAGGAATTTGTCCAAGATCACTCACCTTCATGATAAAGATGAAAATCATAGGACAGGAAGCAGAGAGTTCCCAGAGGCATGGCGTGCAGAGAGTTCCACGTGGCAGGCATCACAGATACGGGCTCAATCCCTTGTATTTATGCCTTGGAACCTGGAGACAACACTCAAGAGGTCAAAGAGGAAGTTGGCCAAAATTAAAGTGAGCAGAAGAAAATAAAAGACCCACTTTCATCAGAGGCTAGTTTGTTTTACTACCGCAGTAGCTAACCCTCCATCACAGACTGCAAAGGGATCATAAGTCTGACTCTGATGATCTGAAGGCTATATTTCATATCTCCTCTGCCATGGCTGAGTATGAGCTCACCTGCTAGGAGACCTTAGCCTCTTACTTGGAACCCCACAGCTGAGGTCCTTCCCTGCAGGCTGGAGAAGATTTTGGATAACAACCAGAAGGCTTATGGGTGCTTCAATGTAAACTGAGTCCATCCATGCTCAGAGAGCATGGGAGAACCCATGTGGGACTATGGGTCCCAGAAGCCTTTGTGTTGTTCATTGTTTAAACATCTGCGAATCATTCATGCACCTGGCTTGGAGCTGTGGATGCTTAGCCTGGGCATGATCATGGCTGTGGTAATGGCGGTGGTCACGGTTGTGACAGAGAAGGAAGAGGTGGAAGGGAAGGGGAATTTCCTGCAGGTGCTGGTATGATGGTGGCCACTCACAGGGGCCCCTCCAAGCTGATCCCTAAAGGATATAATTGCAGGGGAGTTGTCTTTGATCCATGAAGTTGAATCTCTGACAATCCCACCCTTCCTCGTGTTGACTATCCTTTAATTACTCATCACAGTTTATACCCTTCTCTTCGGGTTCATTGAACTAATGAGTGCCCAAAGTTTGAAAAAATTGACTCCCTCAATGGGTATGAAATTGAGCACCTACTGTGTGTACAATTTGATGCTAGCCATTGAGAGCGATGTCTAAGATACTCTCTCCCCCCAGGAAATCAGCCAAACTGGACAAAATACAAACACATGAAATATGTTCTGCTTTCATTGTTATTGTCTTAATTCTGTGGATCTTTAGTGGATGATGGGTATAAATGAATGAATCCAACAAACTTATTGAATCCTAGGGTTTTTTTAATATGCTTATTTGAAAATCATAAGGCCGGACACAGTGGCTCACGCCTGCAATCTTAGCTATTCCAATCTGAGGACCACAGTTTGAAGCCAGCCCCAAACAAGTCTGAGAGACTCTTATTTCCAATTAATCACAAAAAAAAGTGGAGCTATAGTTCAGAGGGTAGAGAACAAGCCTGGATCGCAAAAGCCAAATAAGAGCACAGAGCTCTGAGTTCAAACTCCAGTAATTATAATAAATAAAGTTCTAAAATAAACCCAGAACATAAGTATTGACCAGCCTTTATTTATAAATGGAATGGAGGATACAGGTGGACCTGTTGCAACAATGAGAAGTACAAGTTGTCATGTC